CCGATGTGGCATGAGAGTATTGTTAGTTGTGTAGGTCATGGTTGTACGAGGGCTGGGATACTGCCAGGGCGCCCACACCTAGACAGGAGGACGATTAGGGTCCTCAACCAAAGCCTTTGGCTCAAAAGCCCAACCGCAAGGCAGCGGTGTTTGGCGGGGAAATGCAAATGCATTACTTTTTGTACGGAACAAGTCGCCATACATGTTCCAACTCCCAACCTGGAGGGCCAGGAGACTGTGTTCGTCACACCTCTAACCACTGACCAACCTGGTATGAGAGACTCTGTGAGTGTCGCGCGGTCACTCCCCAGTATAGCTCATTGTATCGCTGATCGTCACACCATCTTAAGGTCCACTCTCTTCGTGACGGATCTCGGAGTCCAAAGAACCTATAGTAAGATTTTTAGGCGGTTCTCCGCATCTGTCTCTCCTTGTTTACAGCAGTGATATTATAATAACTTGAATTACAGGAGACATTTCCTTACACTTTCTGTTTTTTGTTCTACATATCCGCCTTTCCTTAGTCATGACCAATGGTTTTCGTGAAACGCAGTGACCCTGCAATCGGTTCTGCCCCCACATAAACTGCTGTTAAGTGCCAAACCTACTTGACTCGTTTCCATGAGGCTGCAAATTTAGCAGATACATTGATTTAACTGGATGAAAGTGGACCGTCCGATCGATCCTCGTCTATACATCACCCTTATTTTTTTACAGACTGTCATCAGATGTTTTGTTCAGCCGGAACGAAAAGAGTTTCTTATCTAGCTCACCACTTCTCTGTGTTTCATCCCCATTGACAGCAATAACCAACACGAAAGGCGCACAAATCGGTCTCATATTGCATCGATTAGCACCATTCGTGAAGTCGTCCCACACCGCTGACCAGGCCGTGGTAGATTTTTGTGAAAGGGGCTCATCGGAAGTGAGTTCGCTGTTCCACTTGTTCCTCATTATTTTCTTTTGTTTTGTACCTCATTCGCTGTTTTACTCCTGTAGCCGGAGTGCGATTCCGGCCGGATAAACTAAATGATCAGCTGATGGCCATCATAGGAAGTTTCGTATCCCACACGCCTCCACTTAGCATTCGTCTCTGCACTTTCGGAGATGATGGAGTTCTGAAATGCGGAGTTCGGTTGACGTTCTAGATAGCTGCTGTGCACAGAGAAGATCCTTTATGGGCGTTCATTTTACCGACAGAGGTGGTGTGCCTATAGGAGTACGAGTCGGTGAGGTGGTAGTACGCAGGCTTGGTGCGCAAGTGATACTAGTTGATAACCGTCAATCTCCGGGACCGTACTTATTAAATGGAGTTCTTTATTGGCTCAGGGAACCTCACTTAATGGACTGCTCGTCAGTTTGTCAAGCATTCAGTCATGATTCCGTTCTGCAGTACACTACGTTATCTATAATCACACATGCACTTGTAAGGACGTGACACGCTACTCATAAGGTCGCTGAAAACTACTCGACAGCCACGACCGATCTCAGCTACTGTGGGGCTCGTCAGATAGGCCCAGTTCCCGAGTTTCTGTCAATCTGATGCTCTAGTTGAACCCGAATTTCTCGAAATTTGACTAGTACACTCATTTGCATACGAATTTGGTTTCGTTAAGCGACTCAACTGAGTGTAACTGAATATCCCGTCTATAATGGTCCGCTTCAACTGTATATGCTGCAACAGACTGCCTCATTTCGCGGTTGCTATGATATTCGAGATATCACAATACATTTTGAGTCTTCCGTGAAGACCAAATTGGTGTGCAAATATGTGTATTAGTTTGATTTTTGATTCTGGCGAACGATGGACTACTGAACTCCGTAGCTATATGATTTTATGTCCTGTGTTCCGATTTAAATCAAGATAGTTTAGCTAAAGGTAAGGACACCAACATCATGACTGTCTGCGAGGGTTCAAACAACACCCAGACGATCGGTCCTATCGATTTCAGGCGACTGCGAGATCACTTGAGACGAGTGGCACCGATTGTACTCTAAAAGCTACCCAGCCACGATTTTTCGGGGTACCAGAAGTTCACAACCGCGCGTCTCCACCAGACCTACATTGAATGTCATGGGTTGACCATCACGCGGGCGTGCCAGTTTTCTACCGAGGATCTACTTACCATCAGGCCATCAAACTTGCATCGAAACTTGATAGAGTTCATGTGATTTCTGATATCAACTCGATGTGTACAAAAGTTCCCGAGGCGGACGCTCTGGGAGTATCAAAGTGGCTGTTACCTGCAAACGCAACAAGAACGCATGCAACTCCCCCCAATTCATTTCAACACGTAGCTTGATTTCACTCCGGATACATTAGACTTTCCGGACCATGTGACACACAAGAGTATGGTTAAGTTGAAAACTTACTGTTCACACAAGCCAACTACCAGTGATGTACTCCTAAGCTATTCATCGGCCCACCTTAAGACTGTTTACTTTTGAAAGTGGTCAGTCGATTAAGGACAGTGTGTGTGTGTGTGTGGAATATGTTGACCGGATGGCACTATAAGCTGAGGACTATCGGCTCTGCATAGATACGACTGAAGACTGTGCATGCAAAATAAAGTGTAATAACCGTACGGGTGTTAAAATGGGACAACAGCTAGGGAACTGTACACCAGAATCGGTGAACACAAACGGCGCCAAAGTGGGGAACGCAAGGAGCGCAGATTGTGTTGTATCGTGGGTGGCCGTCCATTGGTTACGCCTGCAGTGAGCCTGCCAGACTACGCGATAGGGAGAAGACAGAGTACTGGGGACACGGCTGTATTATCGGGACAAAATAAATATATAGGATGACTACTTGGCCAAATATGGTCGTTCACTTGTTCGCCCCGTACAGCCAATGGGGGTGTTCCGGTCGTGAACACTTTCAGGCCCACTACGCTGGTCGTATGTTTCTAAGCCATGTTTGGTGAGCTCCGCCAACGCACCTGCTTTCTGCACGTGACGTACCGATGGTGATCTTGGGGATGCGTCACTCTCTGCACATGTACTTTGTCCATGTCTGGGTGCGTCCTGACAGATTGACATCTGACTGGGCACTGGAACGGCATGCATGAGACGCAGAGCTAACAAACATGTGGAGGTCAACCGGGTTGTCACGTTCGGTTGTCATTGAGAACGAGTTCTCAACAGAATTGGATATGAGCAAACCTGTGCGTAGTATTCCATCAAGAATTAGATTAGTTCTGGAGTACAAATCCTAAACCGATCAAAATCCATTTACTCCCTGCCGTATCTCCCAACACAACTGTCCGGAAGCCCGCTAAACCACAGACCAGCGGAATCGATGAACAACACCCAAGATGAATACTCAACAAAAGTGCCGTAACTCAGCAGGGCAACTCCTGAAATCAGATTCAAACTGGATCCACTTCCCCTCGTAACACGTCAGTCGTATGTCTTAATCACCCGCCGTGGTAAACAAGAGCTTCCGACCGACATTCAGCACCGGTCAATTTCTCTAGTAGAATCGCATGGGTTCTTCTTGACATGATGTACTACTGATTAGGCTGCCGAAATTCTTCCGACGCCCACTACCAGTTTCGCTTCTCATGGGGTTCATCAGACGGTCGTGGTCCCCGAGGTGCCACTATCTGCTTGAGCGTCAGGTTGTACACAATTGGAGATTGAGGTGTGTGTGTGTGTGAAAAATACTCAACCAAGTCCATCTTTTATGTTATTCCTCAACTAAATGTGCCGCACAACAGCCACCTCACATTGGAGATATTGCAGTATATCTTTTGGATACAACACTATTCTCTTTGGGCACGTGATTGAATTTCGATTAACCCGTGATCTTGATAAGATGGCCATCAACCCCATAAGTAGTGTAGTAGTCCGACAAGTTTTTTGGGCCAGTTTTGCAATGGGTTCTCTAGTTCTCTACCAGACCTTTTGCCAGACAGAAGATTGCTGAAAACGTTAGTCGCATCCATCCTCTTAGCTGTTTCATCACTCACAGACCATTCATGATCTTTCATTCAAGGGGACTAGTCAGTCAGGATGTGCCTATCCAAGAGATACTACTTGGTCTAAACAGTAGTGTAACGGAATCAATTCTAACTGTCGCAGAATTGGCGAATCCACTCCATGATCCCTCTCGATTCTTGTTCCTTGCCTTAACTTCCTTCAATAGCTTAGTGTTTTTGCCGAGTACTTCTCACGCGCCCTCCATCCTTTTGATTTTCTCCATTCAGCTCAATATCAAAACCATTTTCGCCCCGCTTAAGTTGTCCCAGGCGGCCAAACTGCGTCGACTCACAATGATTCCCGAGCCCGACGAAGTACTGAACTGGCGCAGCTTGGTAGCTGTGGAACCTATGGAACTGGAAGCCTTTCTCTTGAATTGATAATGGCTCACTTTATTTCGTCTTTCCAGTTGTTTGTCCAGGAATGTGATAAAGCACTCCAGTCACTCTGAGTCAGTTTGAAGCATTTGATCTATGGCCTGATTGCCCTTTTTTCTGGCATTTTTTGCTGCTTCCATGCACCTCGTTCTTTCCTCCCAGAGCTGTATAAAAACACGCGAGATCCCGCTCGATCTTCCTCCCAAATAAACGCACAACAAGCACGTTGTTCTTCTTCTGTGAATGTGTGACTTTCTTGTTAACACCATCTTGATTTAAGTTCAAGTTGGTGTTCAGAATCGAGGTGAAATTCTTGGGAATTCGAGTACTATATCCACCTGATGATCCCTAGAAAGGGCAAAACCGTGCTTTCAAACTCTTCTCAATGGTGAAGAATAGTTACCCTCTACCCCCTGGGACCAGCTGGATTTGCGAATATGCCTCATTTGCACATCCTTCCAATGTGATGTTTGAGCACGAAGTAAAATAAATGGAAATAGACGGAACTAGGCCTGTTTGATCACCCGTAAAATAGTCGAAATTCGTCGTTGGCTGTTCAGCATTGTGAACAACGTCGTACGATTAGTCCAGGTGGTTTCATTTGACGTCGTAGCTATCCGCTTAGTTCTCGGTCTGAGCCTCCCAAACTAGCCTTCACGTCAGAACAACCCGCAATGGTGCACAAAGTATATTTACGCCCAAAACGAAGTCAGGAACACTTGTACAGCGCTTCATATACATACCATAGCCGGCAATAACTTTCTGGAAATTCTGACGCGTTCTGGGTGCAGCATTGGCAACCGGCATTCGGCCAATACTGGGTCATGATTGGCTTTTGGGTCTAGACTTTCGACCAATCAGATCTCGGCTTCGTGCCGGACCGGTAAGCGTCCCGATTTTTTGGCCAATCTTGGGTGGGATGGACTTCTCGACCGTATTAGTACCTGAGTGCGAGCGGTAAAGAGGGATCCGTGTGGAATTCCGCCTAACACCAGGATGGGTATTTTTAATCGAAAATACTCGAAACGGATCAACCTGATCGTATCAAACACAGCGAAGTAGAGTATTTCCAGCCACCCAATCTGAGCACTCACTGAGCCAGATTAAGGATTGTTGTCTGGTTGCCTCCCTGTTTGGGACTTTCCGATATTCATAGAAGAATCATTATGGACAGCATGACATAAGTGTTCAACACTGACGCTTCGCCGCTTGTTCTGCTACCTGATACATGTCGATCTTCTGTTTAGGTTAAGCAAATAGTCGGGAGCAATCTAACCAAGTGGGTTCTTCCGTTCTTGTCGGGACTAACCAGGTCGAACGAACAAATGACCTTTTGTTTCACATTTTCTGAAGATGGCCACCGGCCAGGTCCTCTTCAACCGTCCTCTTCGTACCGTTTTCATAGAGTCACACGAACGCTTCCCTGGTCTTTTCAATCCGAACATATATTTCTATCCGTTTTTGATTGTCTGGGAGGATAACGTAGCCCAAACCATTGCAGGACTCTGCTTGGTTTATGAATTCTGTGTTAACACTAAGCAGCCTAGACTAGACATCAATGCTTGTGGCGAAGAACTTTCTCTCTCGAGGACTCATTTCCAGTCCGACCAGCCAAGTGTAAAGGCTAGAGTGCATTTCTTTCGGATGTTGACATCATCATCCTCAGCGTAATCTAAGTTCATGGGCCGTTTGGGAACGCTTGTCGGTACCTCATGGTGGCGGACGAGAGCGTGCAATATCTAGTTATCAGCGATCCTGAACAGGAGTGGCGCAAGTGGGAAGTCTCGCAACGCTGGAGCTTGAAGTAAATGTCGTAGTCTCTTGGATGTGACATTTTGTGCCGGAATAGTAATCTCTGATGAAATCCAGTTTATCGAATGCAGCATTAGCTTTCAAAGCATTTCTTATCAGCTGAGTCAAAAGCTGCACGGAAATCAATGGAGCAAATGGCGTTTGTTTGATGGAACTCGCGGCGGTGTTCGAAAATACGGTGTAACGCAACGCTCAAGGTAACTAGAGTCTTTGAGGTTAATTGTCCCAAGCTTTGATGATACTGGCTCTCAAGGGAGTGGGTTGCCCTGGACGTGTTTTCCAATCGCAAGAGCCACACCCTGTGGGGCGCTGTGGTGCTGTCGGCGCAAGATTTCTACTCCTGGAACTTTGCTCTGTGCCTCTGAAAGGCATGCAAACTGGTAGTTATAGAGGCTTCATTAGATGGGACTCTGACTTCTCTCGTCAAGCAGACTACAGACATTCCAGCAGACTCAATCCAATGCGTTCCTGCTTTTCAGGAAAGATCACACGCCATAAGATATCAAGATAATCAATAGAGTGTCGTTAGAAAAGTAGCTGTGCACCTGTTTCGTGTTCGCTGTATGAACAAGAGTAACTTTCGACGGGTAGATCAACTTAGAACGCGATTTTCTGACAGCGGGGATTGGTGTGTATTCGCGGATTAACGAAGACGACAGAAGGCTCGGTCTCATTCGTAAATTTCGACAGCGTGTGTATGCATTCTCACCGTGTCACTTCAATAACTTTAATTCGTTACAAAACTATGTGGTGGGTTAAAAAAAAGTATAAAAAACCACGAATAATCAACGAGTTCATCGGCGGGATTTCGTTTAGTTACTTAAATATCGTAAGTAGTTTGTAATTATCGACACATTTGCACACGTATTTTGTTTGGATGGGAAACTTAACTAGATCTAGCTGCATCTCTAGCTTATAATGGTTCTTTTCCACATTTCAACGGAGATCGCAGTTCATTCGGTGTGGAATCCCGACTTCCTTGGGTACATTTTAGATACTTTTCGCCAAGTTTTGATTTCGGAAATCCCAGGATACGATGCTAGGGCATTCAGACAGGCATTGCAAGCTCTGTAGTCCACACCAGCCATATTTGCCGTTTCATTGGTCTCCCGAAACGTTGCTTCATTCCAATTGGTTGGTTCACCCTGTAGAAATGTCATCACGTATATTATCCATTCTCATTTCATGCCAATAGCAAGTCACCATCACTAAGTATCGCGCCCTTTCATATCTTCATAACGTATGATTGGTCAGCCATGGAACTATTCCAGTTTTTGTGAGGCTCAAAGAGCGTCCACTGGGCCTAACTGATATTCAAATCCAAATTCAGCTACCTCTATTTCGTTGAACTCGTTATCTGATTACACACGATTGTCAAACATACTTCACAGGATATTCTACGTTTCTCATTGAGCCGTACTCATAGGGATTGTCCAGGAAATGGCTTACCAATTTCCGGATCAGGAAGATTCCGTTTCGGTGCGTATCATTTTAATTGGTCAGCCATGAACTATTCCAGTTTTTGTGAGGCTCAAAGAGCGTCCACTGGGCCTAACTGATATTCAAATCCAAATTCAGCTACCTCTATTTCGTTGAACTCGTTATCTGATTACACACGATTGTCAAACATACTTCACAGGATATTCTACGTTTCTCATTGAGCCGTACTCATAGGGATTGTCCAGGAAATGGCTTACCAATTTCCGGATCAGGAAGATTCCGTTTCGGTGCGTATCATTTTAATTTTCTTCTTTTATGCACCACCGAAGAGCAACTACCGTTTTTATCTGACTTGAATATTTCAACTCATCATTTGTTGGTGCAGTCCTCGTGGGGGGGGATGCAAAGCCTGCAGCAATTTTCAAGGCAAGAAGACCAGTTAAAAGCGATCCGAATCTGGTTCCGAGCCTGACGATTAATTATCTTCTTATTTCCTAGTGCACAATTGAATGTTAGCGCAAACAAATACTATCCGGTCAGAAACTCTTGTACGTTTTAGTCAGCTATGCAGATAAGCAATCTGGGCACTGCATACAAACAACGGCTGCCTGGTATTAGTTTAACAAAAAATCGAAAAATGGGGGCGAGATGGTGCTAGCTATTAACGAATCAACCACAACCAGACATCTCAAATCAGGCCATCCGGATGCGGACGGCGCCCAGGATGATGGTTTGTACATCAATAAAAGCAATAGTAGTTTTTTCCAGGAACGAACCTAGACTTTCAGTTGATTGATTTCGGGGAATAGCTGGTCCTGATAGCATATATTCGAGATAGAGCAGAACCATTTCACCTTTCTGCCCGTTCTTTGTAATGAACTGATGCCATCTGAATGAATGACACCCCAGAGCACTTTGGTGTACTAAGTTTCTTGGTCTATTCTGTATAGTTTGTTCTGTCCTGTGGTTTCCCAGAATAGGTTTGTCGAGACACTTGATATGCGGATAAACGTACCGTAATAAACTAGCTCATAAACACCATGATTACTTTTCCAGTTCCTGGCACTCATACTCATGAAACGCCTAGTGTCTGAATTTATCCGATTATCAAAGAAGTGGGACGTCATAGAGTCTGTGTCTAGCACAGATGTAGGTCGCCAACAAGAGCTTGCACTAAGGACCCAATTTGCTTACAGTTTTCATGTCTGAATCAGTTTTTCATCTTTCCCCGAGGCTGAATCATTCACAAAATCCTGGTTTTGTAGGATCCGAGGTGGCCTCTCAAAGTAGGAAACCTTGTATATGTCCGACAGGCCATATCAGTGGTTAGAGACAGTGTCAGACATGGTCCAGTCGCGTTCTCAATGGCGCTCATGCATCCAAGCTATTACCTCCAATGTATAGCTCCAGCCCAATCCCCGCCCATTTAACAGTCTACCTACAGTGCTGTATTCACGCCCTAGTTTATCACCTCCAGCCTCCAATGCGCAGCTACTTACCCCACCTCCCCCAATCGTCGGTGAACGAAACTATGGGGCAACTAGAACCACTGTACGACAAGTACGCGGTTATTACAGCTGACAGTGGTATTGATCATGAGACGGAGCGTTTGATTCAAAATCATACGAAATGACCTTCCTATGGAGGGGTGCCACACACACACACACACGAAGGTTTTTCTTTTGAAGCAAACTGCTTGTTTACTGCATTTTGAGTCCTTCATCTCCCCTGTGTTTTACAGTTATTCAAAAAATCCACATGACGAGTCGTGCTCTACTGTCTCACGTAGAGACAGGCGAATTAGAGCGCCGCCTGCTACAGCATTCCACACCGATCGATCCGCTTACTTTAGAGCGTCGGAAACAGGAATACTGGCGACGGAAATATGGTTCATCAATGTCCAATTGTAAAAAGCTATTGATCGCGCTGTTTGCAATTGTTTTGCTCGCCACGCTTGTATTGTTGTTTATTATGCTGTCGGAGATCTTCTCAATCGGGGAAAGCTTTCGCATTTTGTTTGCATTGCTAGCTGCTATTCAGCATCAACAACAACAACAGCAGCAGAACGAAACCCATCCAAAACAGTGACTGGCCCTCACCATGCTCTTATATCCATTTTTCAATGATCTGTCTAGATTTTGCCACTGTATACTATACTCTGTCGAAGAGCTATGTGTATTTCTTATGCCTTTTCTCAGATTAATTGGAACAGATCACATTTGACATGTTAGTTCTTTTTTTCAATCTTTATCTCCTTTTCTGGACAGCATCACTATTGTTCTCTTGTATCATATTCCGATATACATCACACTTTGTGTACAGTCAGGTATTGCACTACTATGAATTTACTACTTTATTTCATCCTTTGTTGTTCGGCCATCGATGACCTTGAGATGCTTTGATGCTAGTAGTCTGGTAGTTTCGTTCCTGCTTCAACCGTTTCGCATGACTAACTAGCCGACATCTCATGTACACGTCGGCTGCTGAACACTCCTTCTGCTTGGTTCCGCGAAGGAGGCACTGCACTTTCTCCATTTTCTAGGAAAACGAGGTTGTCCCATACAACAAGGGAGAATTGGTGTCCATTTTCACAGGTGAGTTGGTTTGACTCCAGTCATAACAAGACTCCTCGAACCTTTTGTCCTTCATCGCCTTATGGTGGTCCGTGAAACATTTGCGCGAGAGCAAAATGCAAGATTCCTGCGTTGACTGCATCGTCACATTCCGTCAGGGGCTAGAACAACGTCATGCGTGTAAACCACTCCTAGTGTTAGTATTCCTGGATTTTCAAGGTGCGTTCGGCTTAGTTGGCGAGCCCTTCTCAACAAGCTTATTCAGCGGAAAATGCCATGGATGTCTGTGAATAGAATAAGTTTTTTGTGTTTTCACACTTCCGGGCATGTGGGGGTACAAGAGTTCTCCAAAAGCTTCCGTACAGTCAGGGGTGCCCACTCTCCTCACTCCAATTTAATTTTCTAATCGATAAGATAATGAGACCAACAGTGTGAGGCCTTCAAAACTCTGGTGTCAAAATAGCTGTTGATGAAAGCCTTGTCGATCTGGCATATGCGAACTACATCGTTCGTCTTCGAAGGGAAGACGCAGGTGTTCTCGGATGAACTGACCAAAGTCATCCGGTCCTTTGGTAGGCGCTTTAAACCTACAAGGTTTCAAAGTAGTGGTCACAATTTGACCTTGCATAGGGATGTGTAAACGATGACAACTCAGTGCGACTCGCCTTCCAGGATGGGTACCATGCGATCCCCACTGCGCCTGGTTGGAGAAGAACGCTGCAAAGTATGGCTGGTAATCAATGTCAATAGCGCTCTTGTTTTCAGTCTCTATCCAGATTGTCTGAATGAGTGTCTGGAGGTCTATGCACCTCGGATTGATTCCCTTCCACGTCCACCTTTCCTCTTCTTCACAATAAGGCTTCCAAATAAATCATGGTTGTACGGCAGTGAGGCATCAGTGTTGAACACTGACGTCATGCAGTCGATGATGATAATGAAACCCTGTAGCAGGTTCCCCACATGAGATGTGGTGTGAAACTGAGAGGTTTTCAGAGAATACTACACCACTGTTCAACATTTCCGTATAAACAAGGCCCAGGGTGCAATTTTATTGCACTCGGTTTTCCGATCCGACCTCCTGTTTGTTACCTGGTCGTTTGGTGTCGCGCATGTGTAGCACGTTACTTTTAGAGGTTTTTCTATCGCTTCGGGGAGAAGGTCACTTTTGAATTGGTGCTTCTTGGAGGATTTTCAACGCAAATGTGGAGGCTGTAAGCTATCAGTAGGAAGTACTCTTTATGAGAATTTTATTAAAAAAGCATTATCCTGTCTGTAAACGTACACTGTAATACTGACATTTCTTCGAGCTCGAGGTGACTCAGTGGTTATGCCGCCGTCTTACTGACCGGAAAGTCCATGGTTCGAACCCAGCCTTCGGACACCTCGACTGCTTCTGTCTAGACTTAGGCAACCTGGCAGTATCTCAGTTATCGTGTTTCCTTCGATTGGCATGGCAGCCAGGCACGAAAAAGTGGGTATTACAGCTGGACGATGGATGACCAATAAGCTTTACTGTACTCCGGTTTGATTTAGTACTTTAGTGCTGGATATCAAAGTTCGTCGTTGGCGAGAAACAATCCTCGGAACTGCAGAAAACTGTTTATTTCCTTGAAATCTTCGTGTATCAGAGACACTCTTCGTTGTTCGTTCAAATGCAGCCACCGGAAACACCGCCTTAAGGCGTTGGTGTTGCCATGGCCAGCTGACGTAAATAGTCTTAAACTGATAATGTACTACTCATAAGGTTGCTGAAGACTGTTCGACAGCCCGCAACCCACTTCACCTTTTCGGGGCTCATCAGATAGGTGACGTTCCCCGCCAGCCTGATGTTCTGCTTGAACCCAAATTACATGAAATTTGACTTTATCTGCATACCAATTTGGTTTTGACGGGAGATCCACCTGGATTCAAGTAGAACATAAGGTTGGTGGGGAACGTCGCCTACCTGATGAGCCCCAAGAAAGGCGAAACCGGTCGTGGGCTGTCGATGAGTTTTCAGCAACCTTATGAGTAGTGCATTACGTCCATACAATGGTTCTAGGTAAGTCGTATTGCTTAGTTTCTTGGCTGTGAGGCGGCCTGGTGCAACACATTCCGTCGCCTAGGAATATCATAAACGAGGGATTCAGCTGGGTTCTAGGTAAGTCGTCGAAGCCGAATTGGTATGCGGATGAGTGTATCTCGACAGTGTTAAATTCACTTTCCAGGAAACATTTGTTGCAATAACACTCAGCGATGTGGTACTGTGACTTGTCCTTCGAGCTTTATTTCTAGGTCTCCTGATATTGCTTAGTTTCTTGGCTGGGTTAGGCCATACTCCGTGTGTACGTTACCATGACCAGCAAATGCTTGGTATATAATATGACGTTACTTTATTATTATTATTATATTGAGGTGGAGGAGGCACAATGTTAATTCCTTCTGTGGAATATGAGGAAGTTGAGTATCGAATTAGGATCCGAAGATCTAACGTAAACTTGCCTCTTTTGAGGGATGGAGTTCGTCTACGTAAAGGAGAATCGACCACTTTCAACAGTACTCATCATTATCTCCATCCGTTATGTATTACTGTATCAGGGGCTGCAACTTACACAGTGGAAACTTCATTCTGTACGTTTATATCTCCCACTCTATATGTTGCAATTGGAAATCTGAAATAAAAAATAAATATCATTTATTCAATGAAATGAAGGCTGAAAAAGGACACTCAATATGTGTTCAATGAAAAGAGACCAAATGAAATTGTCCCAATTGACAGCTAACTATGACAGCATTCTCCTCGAGTGTGTGCCCATCACACTTTCGTGGCTAATCCGACCTCTTCGTAGTCTCGCTCTAGGGCAGCCAGATCCTCGCGGGCCACTTGAAATTCTTGTTCTTCCAACCCTTCGCCAACGTACCAATGCACAAAAGCCCGTTTGTGGTACATCAAATCAAATTTATGGTCCAACCTCACAAACGCTGCCCCAATCGCCGTACTGTTTGCCAGCATGCAACAACTTCGTAGTACTTTAGCCAATTCCGATCGAGGCACCGCAAGCATTGGTTGTGAGTTGATGTCTACTTTGAACCCGGTCGGACACCAATCCACAAATCGTATCGAACGACTGTTTTTGACTCCTTGAATGGAGCTGTTCACTGAATTTGGGTCGACATCTCCACGGTAGAGCATGCAGATGGCCATGTAGAGTCCCTGTCGTGGATCGATTTTCACAAAGCTGTTAGCCGGCTCGAAGCAGGCCCGTGTGATTTGATCCACGGTGTTTTGTTCATGATAGGCTTTTTCTGCAGAGACCACGGGGTTGAAGGTTATCAGTGGGAAGTGAATTCGTGGATAGGGGACCAAGTTGGTCTGGAATTCTGTCAGATCCCCGTTAAGCGAGCCGTGGAATCTGAGTGACGCGGTCAGGGAGCTAATGACTTGGGCGAGGATTCTGTTGATGTTCGTGAATGAGGGTCGCCGAATGTTCAAATTGCGTCTGCAAATGTCCCACACTGCTTCGTTGTCCATCAAAAAGACGACCTCAGAATCCTCAATGCATGCATGAGTAGCGAGTACCGAATTGTATGGTTCGACAACCGAACTGGCCAACCTTGGAGCCGGGTATACAACAAGTTCGATCTTAGTTTTCTTTCGATAGTCTTGCGTCATTTGATTGATCAGGAGTGAGGCGAACCCGGATCCAGTTCCGCCACCCAGGCAGTGGAAAATGATGAATCCTTGGAGCATATGACATTGATCCACCACAAGCCGAATCTGGTTCATGACAAGACCTAGCATATCGGACCCGGTTGTGTAGTAGCCTCTCGCGTAATTGTTTGCCGCATCTTCTTTTCCACTGATCAAGTTTTCCGGATGGAATAGCATTCGATAGTATCCTGTACGGACCTCATCTGGAAACAAGGTAAAGGAGAAATAACTGGTGGTTTGCCAGATATTCTATGGCGCAACAAAAACAAAACGGCTGGTTGAATGCAGGTTACTTTTATGTCCACGGTAGATTCTACCGAATCGCAGCTGAAATCCTATTTTGTGATGTTCTTGAGCTGCATGTTTCAATGGCTTTGATATTCGAGAAATCGAAAACGAAACACAGTATCCATAAGGTCACTGGGAACTCTTGAACAACAAGGTCCGTTGTCCATTTTCTGAACATAGATAACGCAGTGGTTATGGCACGAGGTTGCTGACCAGAAATTCCATGCTTCGAAGCTAACTCTGGAATGTCGATTGCTTGCGTCTAGGCTTGAACAACCCAACAAATCGGTATGTCACAGCTGGGCAATACAAGTTTCGAGGAGAAGGTGATATCAAGATAACAGCATTTCGCAGTGGAAGTTGGTATCTAACTGCTGTGTTTTTTTTTTCAAGTCAGCCACTGGCTGTGATATATTGTATTGAGAAGGGAACTGAAAAAACATCCCCCGAAGTGGTAGAAAACACTGTTGAGTATATGCCTTATATATAACAATACTAATATTAGTCCAGCTGTAATACCCTTTCGGGTATGAGGCACTCTTTCGGGGCCTAAGTGTCATATCACCCGAAGGGAGCACGAGGGCTGTGATACTCTCGAGTATTACAGCGAGCCAGACGGGAGCAGTCGAGATGCTGAGATTGAATTCGAACCACGGACAAACGCTCGCAACTTAACCACTGAGATATCTCGAATTCCCAATGCCGGATCACTCCAGAAAGTGTGAATCAAGATTAGCCATTGGAGCGCTGGTGGATGCATCTCACATAGAGAGCGGATTGAATGATTCCAGTAGTCTGCAAGATCTCGAACAACGGGTAAGCTCGAACCATGCGCTTTCAGCTTTGGAGCCTACTGCTATTGGGAGTCGTGCCACGTTTGGATTTACGAAGAAAATCGCTTACCATAGTGGATTGGGAATCAACAAATGCCCTTTAATCGATAACTCACTCTCGTGGACGCTCCTGTAAACGTTCTACTCATTTATACGGTCAACTTTTGTTTATCTTGTCCATCCTTTAGTGCATTTCACACCACAGTTTGCGCATGAAGTGAACTGAGGCTGAAAGCGCTATCCTATTCCATATTTAGCTTAAAATTAACGTCCGAAGAATACGACGAAGTTTCATCAAAGATTAAATTTCCGCTGTCCTCGACATCTTCACTGGGAGACCGGAGAACTGTTGTACGTTGCGCAGATTCAGCTGGGAGTGCAGGATGGCCCAAGTGGTTAGAGCGCGAATTTACTGACCGGAAGGTCCGTGATTCAAATCCGACCTTTGCATCTCGACTTCTGTCGGGGATCAGGCGACCTGAGAGTATCTCCGCCCTCGTGCCGCCTTCTTGTGACGTGGCAGCTACGCACGGGGAGGATATTACATCTGAACGATTATTTATTTATTTATTCCCATCAAGCTGAACGGTAATCTGCGCACTAAAGACGAAACGGGGAGAAGTAAGAACATAAGAAGAGGAGAGGTCGATAGACGGAAGTCTTGTACAAACTTGTACCTCTGTGAAATGACAACCCCTCAGACGAGACTAATTCTGATCTTTCCCTTGAGAGGTTACGTCTAGACTGAGATCAAGTGTCAGCGTTCATAACAGGTTTCAGTTTTGATCTTTTGCAAAGGACAATAAATTCACCAGTTTCGCTTCCCTGCTTCAGATTATCCTGAATCTCATCCGTTGCTGGCTCAAGGGCCTGTTCAGGTTAACGACACCCTGAGACATGCAGTGCATGATCGAGATAATGGTAGACGCAATGACTGTGTGCTCTTAGCATGCGGTCCCACCACTGGGCAGCCACATTTGCCGAGCAGATTGCTGTCCTTGACCTTGAAGGTTGTTCAAACTTATAGGTTCAGACGGCCGGAAGATAACGTGTGAAAGTTGACATACCAAGCTCACTCAACTTTTTGCCAAGCTAACTTTTGACATGGCGGAGGGGTATGAAACAGATTACGATATGTCTGGATGCTGTCGGCGGAACTTGACTTTTAGGATAGGGACAGCGCAATCCCCAGTGTGCGCCTGGTTGGAGACGGACGCTGTGAGATATGACATTCTTGCTGTCAGTTTGTATCCAGATGTTCTGAATGAGTGTAGTAAGCTAACACTCATTCTGTACCCCGTCCACTTTGATTATTCGAAACGAAGTTTTCAAGTAAATCACGGTTCTACGGCAACGGTGCATCGGTGTTGAACACTGATCTCACGGTATCGATGATGTTGATGACGTGGACGGAAGAAGTACGTGAAAATTAATTGTCAGACGTTTATCCTGTGGAGCGCGTAGCTGCACTGCACGTATTAAAATCATCATTAACTGTAAGAATCTCGTAACATTCCGTAAAGTGGTTATCGCACCATCCGATTAGGGTTTTCTACGATTGGTCACTATTCTCCGGCAACTTACCAACGACTGTTGGCTCAAGGTCAACAAACACTGTCCTTGGAACGAATTTTCCATGCCCCGTTTCAGAATAAAACGTTCGAAATGAATTATCCGACGGGAAGAAGCCATCCAACATTAATCCATCCGGTCGAATTCCATGTTCCATGCCGAACAGTTCCCAGCAGGCGTTTCCCATTTGGATACCAGCTTGGCCAACATGTATGCATACAACTTCGCGATCACCCTGTGTTAACATGAGAGAGAAATTGTGAAGGCGCTTAGAAGAGTGGAAAGCAGTTTTTAGCAATATATTCAAACGCTTCCAGTAACGGAAACGAAGATTCACCTATTGCGTTGTTTATCAATGGTTATGGTCAAATAAAATTTCAGACAGCCGAGGTATACAATCGTTTTTCGAGCTCATCGGTTGGGCTCCCACACAAGTACTGATATTGTGGGGGGAGATTTGGGGGTCGTGCTGGATATTTCGTCCTTTGACTGGAGCCAATCTACGCTGAAAAGCCGACGATCACTGTACGGCAGTTTCATTCCAATTGGAAGTCCTCAGTGGTGTGCATCTCATTGAACTCCGTTAAGGAGCCTCAAACACACGACCTCACCGTCATCAGTTTGAACACTCAAACGTTCAGCGAACAGCGGCTCCCAAACCCATTTGACGAGTGAGACTTTCATCTGAGAAGTCATCACTCGAGGAGCCAATCAATACGAGTGACCACGTGATGTGGAGACCCTGAATGAAGGACGCTCTATTCTGTCTAATTACACACTGTTGATCAGCGACTGGTGACCGAACGGTTAAGTGTTCAAACTCCTAATCAGGAAGTCACAGTGCTTAGGACTCTCGATGAGGATGAAACAGTGGATTGATTCCCTTATAGGACGAAATCTCCACTAAAATTCTAGAATTACCTTTCTCACCAAATAAACGATCAAGTAGCCTGTTGTGTTGTGATGTCAAAGAATTTCTCAGCAACCTTATAAGTACCACGTACTACCGGATCTTAAAAAGTTCCTTTGACTCATGTGAAACATGGACACTGTGGCAAGTTTCTCGCATCCCTAGATTTCTGAAGAATTTCCCAACCTTTCGTAGCATTTGAAGAAACTCGAAACAGCTCTAAAGAATGGAAACTGTCTTTAGAGTTTTCCTTCTTTGTATCCACCTCAGTTATACGATAAGTTACAAGGCGCAGCATTAAGTGAACTTGACGCGGGTTTTGAAACAGCAATATTGGAAAAAAGCCTACAGGGCTTACGAATGAAAATAGATTGTGAGTCATCTGAAAATCGGAACCTACCATATCTTCTGATGATCAGCCACTGAGGCACACAGTACAATCCAGATCGTGTTCAAACTGATAAACCCATTGATTTGTCTGATGATCAAAGCACGTGATCTAACTGTGTGACCCCAATAGCCCGTCGTTTGCTTTATACTCTTGTTTGAAGTCCACCTCACGATGCGAGGCTGGTTCGTCTGAAGAACCCTGGCATCCAAACTCCTAACCGGTGTGCACCTCAGGAGGTACGTCGAAATAGCTGTTGAGATCTACATTGAACGGACGACATGGCAAACTGTATATCACAAAAATTACAGGACTGTTCGTTCTTGCAGATGTAAGCTTCCACAGCGCGGCGGATTCGCGAGTTATCTGCAGAGTTCCCGGTGCTTTCCTGGTCCTAGTGAGATAACGTTTTTCAAAGAATCAACGAAATGAATGCAAAATTTGCTTATTCAAGTTGCAGCTCTACGTTTGTGTTCGTAGGTATGTTGAAACGCAACATTTTTGACCAAGTGGGTAGAAAACTTGGTTGTGTAGTTAAAAATAAAAAAAGGGAAAATAGATAAGCGAACTCTGCTCAGTTCAACCTCGTAAAACGTGCATCGCTCTTGGTTACAGTGGAGAAACTTCTGTTGATTTTGTACGTGCACATTTTTAAGGATTTCACCGAACTCATTAACTTCCTGGATTTGTGTCTGCAAGGCCATTACGGTACCGTCCAATGTTTTTTTGTCGTAGACATTGAGAATACTGATCAGTACCCACCCTACCCTGCTTGCGCTCCGAATTCTCTCAATAAACAGAGAAATGGACGACACTTCAGCTTCTAAACAAAACGTTGTAAATTCTTTCAATGAGACGGGGGTTTCCCCGCTTAACAGCCTTTCAGAGAGCGACTTAGCTTTCAAAGGCCTTTCTTTAAAAGACACGAATTTTACTTGGTGCATTTCATCGTATTCATTCCGCTAATTTCTCCATTCAGAAGAAGGTTTCATCATCAATCAAATCCAAGGATTTTCCACTTTTTCGGTACCCCCCGAAGCTCATACTGTTTCACCTCAACCATCAGGCTTCTGAAATGACGTCAGTAGTGTATAAAACTAGTTCGTCGCCTGCGTCCGAGATATGACACTCCGAACAAACCGATTCGATGTGGATCACTGTCTGATTTTCGCGCACCAGAAATTTTATTTCAGCTATACTAGTTAAAACTGATAAACCCTAACCAAAGTGTGAATAAGGTATTTTCCGTAAGTTCATAATTCATCGAAGAACCGATACAAATTTTGCTAGGCGATAGCAACAAGGTGAGGCGCAACAAAGTACGAGGAAATGACAACTTTTGAGTCAGACAAGTGATTGGACGGAACGAAGTTATGATACATCTTCAGTGGAATTTCTTAGATTGATAAACAAAAAAATTTGCAGATGAAATAATTGGCTGAGTAAAATGAGTAGAGTGCAGCAATAGGAGACCGTGGTTTTGATTAGTCTGTTTTTACCGTCTCAGGTGCAACTGTGAACAGCTCTGGTGGAAGGCAAACAGTGACTTTCAGCTTTTTCAAATCATCTGGAATGGTCACCGTGACCGGCCTGTTCTTATAAAGGAGTCAGATATACTCAAGCAACTTTGTAGGCGATGGTTTGGTTCTCGCTGCCAAGCTCTGCAAGCTGTGCAGACTGCTTCCATGCCGTAATCCAGTGGATATAATCTACCCTATATTCGCCCGTTTTTTTTTGAAAAATTTTTTGCGTTATCCCGCCTTGCAACAATTTGCCCAGTATCTATATGCACCATAAGTTAAGATGTTTACCAGGAGACAGGACTTCATCGTGACGCGGTGGTTTATGGAACGAGCTGTAGTACACAATACTCTGAAGCAACCGCATGGCGCAATATACGAAGTCGATTGGTGGACAACTTCCTGTGGCCCTCCAGATTAATTGTTTTAGGATATGGTTTACTCTATTGGTTTCAAGCCAACCACTACTGTCTTACGGTAGCCTGACTGATTTGGAAACAGGGCTCCAGTCGTACCCCTATCAAAGTTCGCTACATACAGCATGGAAGATAAGCGAATACAAGTACATTTTGTTGTACCCTCTTTGTACCTTTTCACTCCCCTCTCGTCTCACCTGGTAATCATTCTCCTGTTGATCCCATGTATGAGTATATCGGTTCGCGTCCGATAATCAGTCTTCGTTTTCCTGCTTCCCTTTTGAAACTTCATAGTTTGAACTCTCAAGCGAATCAGCTGTCTGGCTGCACGCATTAGAGAAACTCCACCGGTCGATATTTTTTAGATTTCTGTAAAGTAGTTACAAGTTCCGTATACAGCAATTTGACTTGCCTCACGCTCGCCGTTCAAACGCAGTCGACTGTAAATTCTGAAACCCACGATACCCCATAAACTGCATTGCGCTGTTGTCCCGTGGCAGCCAGGCTGCGAACTGAAGTTTCCCCACGGCACTGGATGAACGTAAATGGACTGCACTGTGTGGTCCGGCTGTTTGTATCCACAGAAATCTCTCGCTGTTCCAAATGCAATCGATTACTTGTTTGCCATGTCAACTCAACCATACAGCTAAGGGGAATGAATCATCCAGTCGTCTACTACCAGTGTAACCGTGATACTACTGATGAGGGAGCATGCGAGTAGTCTGTTTTCTCGTAAATCCGCTATACGTCTCTTGAAAAGTGAGATCTCTTACTGAATTGTGGAGTGGCTTCGCAGCAATTGCTTGCAATTGATTAACAGTCAATGAATATCCAGGAAAGTTAAGGAAGACGCGTTCAAAGAGAATATGGTCATTTAGTTCTTGTAAACAAGATGCATATGAGAGTTTTGCTTCCCTGTCCTATAGTCTCTGACCGTTCAGTTGGTGTTTCCTAACACACGACTCCGCAACGAAGGCATTTTTTCCTTCAGGTGTGGTCATAAAGCACATCTGCGGCTCACCAGCTGATTAGATGCAAACCTTAAACTTAGAAACGAAACTATGGTGGTCGTTGGCTTGTCCGCTGAGCTGGTCAATTGAATTGCAAACGTTTCATCACCAATCGAGATGACATCATCAGTGTCATTAGTTTTTCAGTCACGTAGTTCATATCACACGCTCATTCGCCAACTGACTTCCCAAATAACAAATTCTCAGCTGAAAGGCACACGCAAATTTTGTTCGTGACCACTGATCAGTGATCACCGAGATAAGTGTCCATGACAGATAAGATCGAGTTCCGTCGGACAACCGGGATAATGGCATGAGTCACCACACAGAAATATCGATCGATTACGCGGCGTAAATTCAAATAGTTCGTTGACCACTTGCTGAACTGGTCAAAGAAGATCGATACACTGAGCAGTCCATATTCACCACATAAGCCCCCCCCCAACTGATATCCACATTCACGGGAAGAGAAAGAATGTAATGACTGCTTTATATTTCAAGACAGTAGTAAAGCACTTCAAACAAACCATTGGATTAAAACTAACGTCCGGTGAACAGTCAGTTGAAATTCCATTTAAAGCAATACAAAACTGTTAAGATGCCCCAAATCAGAGGACTGAATCGAAGTGTGTTCGATGGACTGTTACACAGGTTGTTATTGCAGCACTTAAACTCTGTTCGCACTCCTTGAAACTCCGGAGGTTGTTGTGGACACGGTTGTCCATCCCTTAGGCAAACAAGCGACGTTTGGACGTGAACATTAGCTCGATAAAGGGAGTGTGTCTGTGGCGAAGAATTACAATAAATAAAATAGAAGATATGAGAATTCACATGATCCTGAGAAAAAACAATGGAGTACACAGAACACAAACAAAAGTAAAAACGCCGAAAGTGACTCCTAATCACTGGACCGCTGTAAAAATAACCAGTTCAATCAGACAGATGGCGCTAATGTATAGTTTCACTGAACGACGGAAAATAAAATGGAGTAGTACGTTACAAACTGGAGGGCTGTTTTTCCAGTTTTGTTTTGTTGTGAATTGCAACCAGGATAGGTTGATCGACATCATGTTTGGGAAACAAAACGGACATTTGACGTGTACACCTATTTGCATATCAATTAGTTTTCTTGGCAGGAGACACCAGGAACCCAGCCTAACCGCTTGTTTATGATGTTCCTCGACCGAGTGTGCTGCGTCAGGCCACCCACGTTTCAGTCGGTGCGATGTTCGAGATGTTGCTATAATTGCATCGAGACGTAATACCCTACTCATAGAGTTGCTATATATTCTTTGGGTGCTGAAGACTAGTTTTGCCCTTTCTAGGACTGAGTCTCCGAGTTTCTGTCAAGCCTGTGCTCCTGAGTTGACAGAGAATCTTAGACGGCGCCTGCTTGATAAGCCGAGGATGGCAGGGCGTATCTGGTCGGGGACTGTCGAAGAGCAGAGTATTACGTCACTACGGAAATTTATCTTTCAGTATTACCGACATAACTGGAAATGATCGATCACGGCGGCAGCCAACATCTTTCCTCATACACGAATGATAGGGATCTGTTAGGCTTTATTCGAATTAAGTCTAAGTGAAACAACGAAGGCAATATCGACGAGTTTTCCTACCCTACCATTGATGTCAGTCTGTACTAAAAAGACGGGAAGCACATTACCCACCTTGGAATCTGCTGCACAAATCTGCAGGGTGATAGTGCCAACTGGCACTATAGCAGTATAGTAGTACAGTACAGTATAGTATAGTATGGTACGGTATAGTGTGGCATAGTATAGTACATTATAGCGTAGTATAGTACAGTACAGTATGGTACAGTACAGTACAATGCAGTACACTACAGTACAGTACAGTACAGTATAGTGTAGTATAGTAAAGTTTTTAAAAAGCCAGTTGCAGCTGAAGTGAGTTTCCTTAGCCGCAGTTTAGTCTACATGAGTAAAAGCTGTGAGTATGTGAGTTAGGAGATAACTATGGTAACCGAAACAATTTAAACGAAGCGTCGTGGAGTAAATGAGATATACGTCTTAGGATGGTGTTTCTCCACAACGTGACCGTTTCTTTTATGGAATTTTGGTGCTCTGAACTCTTAGAATATTGCGGAACTCAGGTGAAGGGTTCTCTTTCGGGACGGATTCGTAGGAGTGTGTCTCAAGGGAACGTCAATTTTAACTTAAATTCGCCTATCAGCTCTTACGCCATACCATTCACACAACGCAAATCAATGACCACTTTTTTACTGGCTTCAACTAATTTGACTCAGTCGTTGTGGCGAACGCGTAAGCAACGGTGCTTGCATTAGCAGTCGACAAAGCGGAGATGAATGGTGCATTTCTACCAGCGCGTGCTTGGTCAAGTGACGGTCTGGTGACCGTAGTATCACCAAGATAAAAGACTTTCCGTTGAGAAGACTTGATACAAAAATTTTCGACAGGGATCTATTGACAGCGAAATGCGTCAGATAGTAATAGTGAGTTCCAAAGCATTTGGCTATGATACTGGTTTTTCCAAGATGACTGTATACTTCTATAGATGCAGCGTGTATAAATAACCGGCTGTGTGCGGGGATGTGCAATTTGTAGAATATAGCACAGTATCACACACAGTGCAGTTCACAATTC